CGAGCAGCAGGAAGCGGCCCTCTTGCTCCTCAGGGCTGGCCTTTGACAGTGCGTATCCTTTCATCTGTTTACTAATGAAGTTAGAGATTTTCACATGTGTTTTCGGTCCGTCATCTGTACTTTTCTTCTATTAACTATGTACTTCTCTGGCCACTTTTGTTTTCCTGATGATTCATACTAGTTCTCCACATCTCAGGACATCTTCGTCATGTTGCAACTCTTTCTCTGGTTAGTATTTGCCTTTCATTTGTGTAGTGAAAGAAGTTTCATATTTAAGTGTCCAAAAACACCTACCTTCCTCTTTACAATTCTTCCGGTTGAATTTATGCTTAGAAAGCTCTTTTCTTCTTATTTGTGATTTAAATAGCTGACTGTTGCGGTCACTTATATTTACCGTATGATGTTAGTAAAGTGTTTATTAAATTTATACTTATTTGTAGTGCTTGATAACCATCCCGCTTTTATCAAAAGTTAAATCATCTATAGGAGGAGAATCTCAGATATTTTATTCAACTCATCTGCTCATGCTTATGCAGACACAGTATTATTTTAATTATTTTTACATTACAAGGTGTCTGGAGTATTTCCCTTTTCATCTGTGGAGCTTCTGAGGGTTCCCAGCCCTTCACTGTTTCTAAACAAACCTTAGAACCGTTTCCTCAGACTTCCGATTCTTCATCTGGGAAACCCCAACATTCTCTCTGTGTGAGTCTCCCCAGGAAGAGCAGCCTGGATTTCTTCGTTTATTTCACCAGCTCCTACCAGGACCAGGTGAACTTTCCTCCCGCAGTCCCGGGCTGTCTGGGCAGCCGGGTGACAGTGTCCTGAACTTTGGGTCACCCGTGGGCGGGAGACTTTCCTCTCCCTGTTACATGTTACCAGGCTGCTGCTGGTTCACGCCCGACTCACTGAGTGTTGTGACTCTCTCACCAGCTCACGCACCATGCACGGATGCCACGGCCAGTGACGGCCACATGCACAGCGCTGACCCACAGATCGTGACACCCAGAGCGTCCCGGCCAGGTCTGAACAGCAAGAAGATCATCTACGCTTCCTTCTCAGAGTACGTCCTGCCCTGAAGTGATGTGCGACATCTGTCAGGCCCAGACTTCTTCATTAACTACACCTTGTACCTGGCGTTCTTTTGAGTCTTCCTGGCACATCTGTGGGGGCAAATAGTTACCATTTTGTCTGCTGTCCCCTGGCAGGAGTTTCATGCTGCACAGCCTGTCTGGGGTTTCCTGGATTCCAGTTCTGCTGTGACTGCCTCCAGGCGGCACCCTCAAGGCAAGCGCTGCAGGACTCCTCACTGAGGAGAAGTGGCCCCCGAGAGGAGTCCCGGACGGCTCGCGGCCGCTCCTGCAGCGCCCCTGGGGGCCCCGCTCCCCTTGTTTACCGGCAGTATTGGGCCCTCCATTTTCCTGTGTAAATCTGTTCACATCCGAGAATCAGCCGTGTGGAACATTTTAGGTAAATGTGCTTCTTTTTCCAACTTCACTTAAGATTTTGGTTGTCATGCTACCATCTGTCGCTAGTTTTCTCAAATTCTTGAAACGAGCTACTTGCAGCTGCTGTGGAGCTGGCCTTGTTCTGCCGCCTGCCTTGTCATCTCGGGGGGCCCTGGGCTCCCCTTCTCTGTGGTCCCCATTCAGCCAGCTCCCCACTCATCACCTCAGGCTGCAGGTTTCCCTCGGGGCTCTGACACCCTGCCCTTGCCCTGGCCACCTCCTCTGGGGTGGCACGGCCCTTCAGCACCGGGGGTCTCGGGCGAGCCCAGCCACTCTCCTCCACCAGCCTCTCTTTTTCTGCTCCCAGCTCCTTCCATGCCAGCCTTTCCCATAGTTCCATCAGCTCTGCATCACGGTGATGAAATACCCGAGGCGCACTTCATAAGCAGAAAAGGTTTGCCTGGCTCCCAGCATGGACATTCAAGCTCCAGCTCAGGCAGCCCCGCTGACTCAGGCTCTGGTGAGGCAGCTCGCGTGGTCACATCTCAGGGCCACAGAGACGGAGGGCAGGGGATCTTGGGGATGGAGATTGTAACTCCTGGGTTTTTGGGGGCATTTGGCATTCAAACATCTGCCTGGTGGTCACTCTGTGGTCCCACTGAGCACCTAGCTTCCTGCAGCCGCCCTCACCCCAGTGACCAGGGGTCCCAGTGCCTGCCCCACTGGCGTCACACACTTGGAAATGCAGTGCTCAGAGTAGCCTTCCTGCATGGCCGGCACTGCAGCAGCGATCACAGGGCCCCATCCCTTGGCCACTCCAGCAGTGGCCGTGCCCTCTGCTTCTCCTCCCGCCAGCGCCCCTGTGGCACCACTGCCCTTGCAGCTCACGGCTCGGTCTCCACATGGCCTCTACCCGCAGCTCCTCGCCATGCTCCTCCCTGGCCAGGCGAGGAAGGCCCGCACCACCTCTGTGTCTCATGCCCTGCTGACAGCCCCCATGACAGCTGATACATAGAAGCCCTCAGAAAACACATTGGCCAGCTGGCCAGATCTGTCACAGTAAACTGATGGCTCAGTGAGACCCACAGATCCCTGATGTGAACAACTTCCCTGCTCCCAGGACAAGTCCTGCTTCACCCTGGTGAGAGCTTCTCCTCACGCGGCGTTCCAGCACACTGCATGTCGTATGATTTTTGTGTCTACTTTTAGAAGAAAGACACTTCAGTACTTTGTCGTCAGCTTTAGGTGTTTGGGTCACACTGGCTACAAAAATGAACTCGAGCCGGTATAGTGGTGCATGCCTGTAATCCTAGCACTTAGAAGGCTGAGGCAGGATATTTCTATGAGTTTCAGCCTAGCCTGGGCTACATAGTGAGTTCAAGGCCAGCCTGAACTGCACAGCAAGATCCTGTCTCAAAACAAAACAAAAACAAAACAAAAGAGAGAGAGAGAATTCAGCGCATTGCAGAATGGTCTGTGAGTTTCCATGGTGTTATACTGCCCTTCACGAATAATTCCTTGAATTGAATAAGACAGTACCAGCAAAAAGGGGTGCTCTGATCATTTAGGGGTAATTTTATGACAACTTTGCAAATGGTAAAACAAAACAAAAAAACCCCTCTGAATTCCTGTCTCCTGGGGACAGAGGGCGCGTCCCATGCTATGTGGGGTCTCGGTTTCCCCAGGACCTGGCTCCCTGTTGACGATCTTCATGTTCAGACCCTGACTTTCTGTGACCACACTCCTGATGAAAACAGGAAGAGGAAATGGCTCAGGGTAGAGCCAGTCCGGCACAGAATCTGCCAAAGATGAGCAGTGAAAGGGGCCTCTTCGAGCAGCCAAGACTGCAGGAGACAGACTCTCTTCAGGCCAAATAAGATCCGGGGCTTTGCCAACATCAGCAAACAATGAACCCCACGATTTCCAAATTTTCCCTTTTAACTGATACCAGAGCATCCAGGTGGGGAACGCAAGCGGATCCACGGGGGAGCTTTTCTCTCCTCCTCTCCCTGGCATGTAGAACAGACCTTAGGTGCCATAGCCATGGGAAGAATCCAAGCTCTGCACGGCTTTCAAAGTTACCCTAAAATCACCTGTACACAGAGAATCAGACTGGCTATTTTTGCCAGTGCAAAAGTTTTGCTCTGTAGTGCCGCTGTTTTTATGAGCCTTTGGATCTGTCTGCAACTGCAGCCCTGATGTTCTCCTTCCCAGTGGGGTCTGTAAGCGTTTTCTCATACATTCGACTGTTTTCAGACTTGTAACTCCTCTCCCATCATTCTTCGCCATCAGATTTGGGGCATTTAGTCAGAGCATATAACCTAATCCTTCTTTGCTCTAGAAAATTCACTGAAATTTTCTGTATAATCTAAATACCTCTGTAATTCTAACAGAGCAAGGGGAAAACGACACCAGTTTTGCAGGATTTGGTCTGCTGCGGTTTAACTCGTAGCCTATGGCTCCCACAGCCGGTGTGCAGGTGTTTTCTTCTTGACAGTTCGCTCTGGAACGTTTCCCAGCTGTCTCAGGCTGCGCACACCCAGTGCGAGTGTCCTTCCTGAGGCTGCTGTCAGCTACTTCCGAATGACTGGCTTTGTGGGTGCAGGAGCAGGACGAGACCTGCTTTTCACGGGGTTCACTCTGCACCTGAGCCTTCACCACCCTTCGCTCGACTCTTGTGCATAGACTGCGCGCAGTTAGATGCCGGTTTCTGGCACTGAAATTCTCTGAGCAGAAGCAGCTAAGCTTTTACATATTTCCCCCATGCGGGGTCTGACAGCCACAAGTAGGATTTCTGTGTGCTCACTCAGACAGCAGGTGCACAATTTGGCCGCCTGAGGGAGAAGCCCAACTCCTGAGCAGCCAGGTGGCACTGGCTGCTTACCTAGTACGGCACTGAGTCACGCTCAGTCTCAGTGTCTTTTTCTGCAGGTGGGGACTGTCACAGCCGGTGCTGCCCCCTGTGAGTGAACCCGTGCAGAGCTGGTCGGTGCCGGCCGAACCACAGCGCTCCCCTCTCTCTCTCCATCTCTCTCTGCGTGCAGCTCCCTTTTCTTTCTATCCCAGGTCACCGTCCCTGGTGGCTGTTTACCAGGGACCCAGGCACACTGTCAGGAAAGGGCGCTAAGCTTCATAGCAAAGGGAGACCAGTAGGGCAAGGAGCCACGGGAGCAGCCACCAGGTGGAGAGGAGGAGAATGCAGTCAGGCAGCAGAGGCAGGCCAACCACGAATTTCACCTCAGGTCTTGACCCTGGAGTCTCTGTCCTTCCCAGCTCTGGGCAGTTCCCAGAGACAGCCACAATGTGTGTGTGTATGTGTTTCATGTAAAACCAGCCAAGTCAGACCCAGTATCCCCAGCCTCCTCCTGTCCTCCACCACAGCCCAGGGCCAGGAGTTGGATGGTGGGGTACAGCCTGTGCTCTGCTCCTCTCTGCTCTGCTCTGCTCGGCAGGGACTGCCCTGGCTGTACTGCTCTGGGGCCCCCTTCACTCCCAGAGTGCAGTGGGGCTCGGTGGCTGGCAGGCAGGCCCTGGCCACACGCGTGCACTCACCTTCGCGTGGCTCAGCAGGATAATGCGCACCAGCACCACATTGATGTGGGCCCCCAGTGACTCGTCGTGGTAGATTTCATTGACCTGGAAGACAACCAGAGCAGCATCAGTGGGAATCATGGCCTGGGACTCTATAAACACATCTTCACCCCCCAGGCCCCAGGTGGGGACCAAGGTCCCATCCCACCTGTCCCTCTCCCAGTGACTATACCAGCTGTGAGCATCGGGTGACCGCACCGCCCACCCTTGGCTCCAGTCCCCTCCCCTATAGGCATCACCACCCCTCTGGATTACTGCAGCTTGGGGGTGGGGAGCTGGGACCATCCCCCGTCCCCATAGGCCCCCCTCCTTGCTGCATTTAAAGGCATTATTCTGAGCCAGTGTGCACAGTCCCATGGGCTTCCTCAGATGTCACAGGACCCACAGCACAAATTAGGGCTGCATTCCCAGCTCCACCACACAGCCAGAAACACGGGTGAGGTCAACTCTGGCTGGCACTGTTGGAGGCTCTGTCCCCCGAAATCCTCCCCACCCTCCTGCCACACACATAGCACCCTCGGGGCACAGCCCCTGCCCTTCTGCTTCATGGGTTGACCAAACCCTTTTCCTCAAGCCAGCCTTGGAGTTGCTTCCTCCTGACGGAGCACTGTGGCCTTGGCTTCTGGAACTTTCCACCCCTAGACTCTGAGTCGCTCCAGAATCTGTACTTCCCTCCTGCATGCTCAGCCTCCTGGCACAGAAGCATGCGGCAGGACTTTTTATTAAAAGAATAATAACTAACTCCGCTGGAGCCATCACCGAGTGGGAGGCATGGACCAGCCACGCACCTGCCCTGTGTGCAGACCAAGGGGAGGCTGCTGACTGGGCACTGGGTACCTCTGCGGCACAGACACAGGCAGGCTGCACCTCCTAGAGCCCTCTGCCACCTCAGTCCAGGGTCCTGGGTGTGCCGCACCTTGATGTTTAGAATCTGTATCTGAGCGACTGTGATTGGTACCTATAGACAGGCAGCAAACCACTCTTAGCAGAAGATGCTCCGGAAAATCTGAGAGCTGACAAGGAAAATCAAAGCCCAGTGGATGAGCTGAGAGGCACGCGGGGTCTGTGAGACAAGGCGCCCTGTGGCCGCGGTCATTGCTGCTGTAAAGAGGGCTCATCGGTTCCCAGCGGACGCCACCGTCAGCCCCTCACAGCCTCTCTGGAACTCCTGCTCAGCAGCTCACCTGGTCATGCTCCAGCTCCCTCCCAGTAGCCTTCCTGTGCTGTGGGGAGGTGGAGGGATCAGAAAGGCCCTGTGGCTCTGCGCTGTGGGCTCCCTTGAGTCCCCTGAACCTGCCACCCTGAGGGGCAGTGCCCTTCACTCCTCCCAGTCTGGTCCTTGAACTCAGGGCTCATGAATGGGGTAGAAGCAGGGAGAGGATGAAACAGTCTGAGAGCCAGAGGGAAGGGAAGGCAGGCAGCTTGAAGCCAGCTGCTGTTGAGGTTGCAGAGGGACAGGTCCACAAGAGTAAAAGGTGGCCCCAGGCAGCCCAGGAGGGGGCTCAGCACACTCCACAGCAAGCCAGCCAGAGGGTGCGGCCTGGCCCAGCTATGTGCAGTGGGTCGGCCGGAAGCCTTGGGCTTGGCATTCCCAGGCTCCGGAACCGAGAGAGGGAGAAACTCCTGCCGTCTGAAGTCCCGCCTGTAGGGTCTGCTTTTCCAGTCTAAGAGTCCACACTGAGCCCTGCGTCAGGCTTACAGTGATTGTGATCTTGACTGCGCCCCAAGGCCCATGTGCCGAAGGCCAGATGGCCAGCCTGTGGTACCATGGAGAGGTGGGAAGGCGGGGCCCAGTGGGAAGGAGGGAGGTCACGGGGATACCCCCAAGGGGTCTCCAGCTCCTTTCTCTTGCTCTGATTCAGCCAGGGGCCATGAACTGAAACCTCTAAAACCATAAGCCAAATTGCACCTCTTCTTTTAAATTGGTTCTGCTAAGCTTCTTTATCACAGCGTTGGGAAGCTGGCTAATGCAGGGCTTGACCCGACCATTCCTCCAAAGGCTTTACACAGGAAGAGCCTGGGCAGCTCTCGGGGACCCAGTGGCACTGTTTTCTTCTGGCCTGGGACTGGGTGACATCAGACCACTTCCTTTTGCACTTTGGTGTCTGAATGCTCACCCCAGCCTGCAGCCAGTGGCTCCTTCCTAGGCTCCCCACAGGACTTCTCAACCTGAGCTGAGCGTACACCAGGCCCAGAGCCACCGTGTGCTTCTGACCTGCATTCTCCTTCCCCACCTGGTCACCCTCCCTCTGCAGGACCAGGACCCTGGCCTGGGGCAGGAGCTGGGGCTCTGCCTGAGCAAGGGGAAGCCGAGGCTCTGCGAAGGTGGGGCTCCATCCCCATGGTCAGGGGGAAGGTGCAGAGCTGGCCCCACTGGGTTCGGGGGCAGGCCCTGCCCACGCAGCACAGGATCCCCTAGCTCTCCTGGCTCTGCTCTCATCCTCGGGAGGGGTCCTTGGACAGGGCAGGTCTGAGCCACTTCCTCACTCAGGACTAGAGGGGACCAGGCACCTCACAAACCCCACTGCTCATCCCTGAACTCTGTGAATGAGGAGCATTTCCAGGCCAGGCTATGTGGGGTGTGGGAGTCAAGGTGGACAGGGCCTTCAGGTGTCAGGCAGCTAACTGTGGCCCCAGGGCTGGGCGCCCTGGATTGGTCTCTGGAAGCCTGTATGTGCCTGAGAACCCGGGGCTGTGGAGCTCTGGAGTGGGGGCTCCCAGGGTCACTAAGCAGTTGGCTGGGGAGCATCTTCTCCCAGAAGCATGCTCTCCGTGCAGGCACACTGCCCTGGAGGTCACTGACCTGCTGGCCTGTGGAGCTGCCATGGCAGACCCAGAGTGCAAGTGGGGACCTGACCCTCACATCTGAATATATCCACATCAGAGCTGGCTGGGACACAGTTTGTAAGGGACACGAGGCGGGGGAGTTCCCAGTGCCCCTCTGCTCCGCTGGCCTAAGGTCCCGTTTCCTCAAGCCCAGGGCTTCACTTGCCTTTTAGTGGGCATTGAAATTGCCATGGCGCCCAGAGTCTGGAGTCTTCTTACCCTGGAGGCTGTCACCCAGACCCAGCCATGGCCAGAAGCCTGCAGGGCCCATGTGGGCATCGGGGACCCCCGGGGAACAATCAGTAAAGTCCCCGGGGAAACACGTGTTCTTACTGGGGCCCCAGCTACGACACATTCACCTAGGACGGAGCTGATGGACAGGGCAAAGGGCAACAAAAGACAGGAGACAGCACCTCTGCCTCTCCGGGGCCCCTCTGCGTGTCCCTCAGGAGGGAGAGGGGTGGCAGGGGCTCCCCAGTGAGCCCAGCCATGCCCTCCCCCTGCCCAACTCTGTTCTTTCCCAGGGTCAGCATGGCAGTGGATCCATGCTGTCCCTCCTCTGCTGGAGCCCTCCGGGGCCCCAGGGCCTTTGCAGTAGGTGCAGCCCTCCAGGTGGCCCTGCCAGCTCCTGCTGCCCCTCGCCAGCCCTTCCTCCATGAGTCTGCAGTCACTGTGGCTGGACTCCCGCCCAAGCCTGGCTGCCCTGCCTGCTGCCTGTACAATGCTCGTGCTTGAAATTCCCACATTCCTGCTCCAGACCCTGAATTCTTTAACTATCAGAAGAGTATTTTGGGAAAAACACAATAAAACAAAACAAAATGCATAGTAACACATGGGGTTCAGAAGAGAAAGGCATTTACTTCCCTTCTGGCTGCACTTGGAATAACACTGAAGGCCTCACTTACTCCCAGCAGGGAGCCTGTCTGACCCCAGGGCCTTTCTACCTGCGGACCTCCCTCCCTGCAGCTCTCCCAGGCCCTGCTAGGCATTCAGCAAAGGGGGCTTTCGGGCGCACATCTGCAACACGTGACATTCACATGTGCTCTGGAGGATGTTTGACTGAAGGAATGAGGGACTCCAGTTGGAGGATATAAATGACAGGAAGTGGGCAAACGGTGCCCCGCAGGCTTGTGGTCCCAGCTCCCTGAGCTCTCCTCCCTCCTCCAGCCTCCTGCCGCAGCTGAGGAGAAGCCGCTCTCTGTGCCCAGTCTGCAGGAGGGGGGAAAGCCCCGGACGGACGGCGTCCTTGAGCCCTGTCTGAGAAATCGATCCTGGAATCTTCAGATCCTGGGGGAAATGTTCAGAGCCGCAGCCCTGCTCGAGAGGCCAAGGGCTCCTGTTTGCCGAAACACATTGCAGTGCACAGAGGCGGCCAAGCTCGGTTCTGGAACAGACGGTAAGGAAGGTCGCAGAGCTGCTTGACAATGGAAAAGTTCACCTCGATGGTCAGCAGACTTCCGGCCAGGGCCACTGTGAGTCCTGGGGTGGCTGCCAGGCAGGGGCATCTCTCTCTGGCTATGTCGTCGGGAGATGAAGGGGGTGCCAAGAGGGGGAGCTGTTCCAGGAAATGGGGCTCGATATGGGCTTGGCTCCCACTGGTTGCGGGGGCAGAAAGGGCTGGAGGCCAGGAGCACCCCTACCCTCCCAGACACAATCTCCTCTGCTGGGCCCAGAGAGCTAGGGGACCCCCGGGAAAACCCTGGGGAGCAGGCACGGGCTGAGAGTTTGGAGGCCAAAAGGGCAGCCTGCACCACTCACCACCTGCCCTCTCAGGGAGCCGGGAAATAAACAGAAAAGGCGGAGCCTCTGCTGGCCCCAAAGTCAGCCATGGACCATCACAGTGGAGGCCGGAGGAGAGCCCGCGTGCTGGCCAGAGCTGGGGAGAGAGCTGCGGCTCCCACGCAGGAAGGCCTGCATCGGTGCGCGTCCCTGCACACACGAGGCTGCAGGAGCCTGGCTTTGTCCCAGGGCCAAACATTCCCTTGGCTCCTCTTGGTTCTCCACAAATGCTTGGGGGCAATGTGGACCCTCACATGGCTCAAGATACCAAACTGTATCATCCAGGCACAGCGGCACACACCTGTGATTCCAGCTACTTTGGAGGCTGAGGCAGGAGGATCACAAGTGTTAAGGCCATCCTGGGTGACCTAGTGAGAGGCCTTCTCAGAAGAGGATACAAAGGACCAGGAGGAGGCTCGGTAGAAGAACCTTTACCAAAC